TCTGCTCACCGACGCAGCACACAGCCTGGCGATGCAGTAACCGGAGTCTACGTTCCCAAGCCGAGACTCCCGCGTCAGCAATTTCCACTGAAGTCACACCTTTGAACCTGGGTACCTTAGGCTTTGGGGGTTGGGAATTTGGGCCGTGGTTATGGCAGTTTTGAATTTTTGGCTTCTTTCTGCAAATACTGCATTTCACAAGGAAGCTGGGGGTGCTGGCGAGCCCCTGGCACACACCTTCTCTTGTAGTAAATGACCTCGACAGGTTAATGTGGCCCAACGTATGTTTCATTTTTTACAAACATCTTCTTTGATTTTATTTTTTAATTTTTGGTACTCTGTGGGCATCTTTACAGAGTAATTACTCATTAATCTTACAGAATAATACCCGCTTTGGGATTTTAATTTGGTTTTTAAGCCTAATAAGTCATGCAGAATTGCTTCTGCCCACCAGGGAGACACCCACTGTATTTCAGATTTGTGTATAAACATCCTATTCAAATAGCAAAATACTCGATAACGTAGCGTATATCAGAGAGTCTCAGTGAAACACTTCCTAAATTATCTGCTCTGTGGACAGTACTGTTCTTTTGATAGGAATAACGCTGGATATTTCCTTGAAAAAAGTCAAGCTCGGATAGGCTGATTTAGCCAGAGAGGCATCTCACCACGATGTGTGTCCATTCACGTAAGGGAAGTGCTGAATTTAAAAACAAACCAAAGCAAATGGAAATATTATTGTTGGTGGGTTTATTATTAATAATTAATAATAATAAACTTCATAATAATTGTTATTAATAGTAATAAATCACTGACTATTCTTTAGAAAATGTGCCTCTGGGATAGTAAGTTTTATCCTCCCCTTGTGCTGGCCCTTTTAATTTACTCATAGAGAGGAGCCCAAAGCAAATCGAAATTGCAGCCATCATGCTTGCAAGTCAGTGTTTTCCTGACAAAAGGGTTTTAGATCTTAATCCCCTTAACTTCATCAGTTGGGATGAGATGGCACCAGGGTCCCAGAGCTAACCGAGACTGCTTCATAGGACTGGGGCTTCGATGACAAATGCCTTTTTTTTTGAAAATCGGGAGTTTTCTACAAGACCGTTTCACTATTAATACTTTTTGTAAATCTTCATAATCAAAAAGTGGTTCCCAAGCATGCACCTGGCTGCAGAAAATCCCCAAACTGCAGGGTTTTGTCATTGACGAATTCACCAACACATAAACCCTCGACTGCATTCTTCTAAAGCTTCCTGCTAAAAAAAAACCTGCTTCCAGAGAGCATCTGCTTGGAGGAGCAGAGGGAAAACTCCTCTTTCCTGTAACCAAAGAGGCGGCTCTTCTCCCAGGGGCTCCCTCCAGCTCCGAGGTCCTTTTGTGCAGGCACAACGCAGGTTGCTCCAGGAAACCTCTCCTTTGTGCAGACCAGTCCCGCGGAGAGTATTACATTGGCATTTCACTCCTTGGCATGCGTTTGCACCGGGGACGCGGGGTGGCAGTTGGGTATTTCAATCTTGTTTTCAATTATAAGCATTTCATTGTCGAATGTTGCTGGTTTATTATGTGATAATTAAATATGAATGATGGCGCAGCCCTCCTGCCAAAGAGGCTGTCGCCGAACGAGGGCGATTCCCCTCATCTTGCTGAATGGCTCCGGAGGCGAAAGGAATGATCTATTTGCTGTCCCTTATTTTTGCTGTCCTATTGTTTCGATATCGCTAGCTTCAAAATAGCAAACTAGGCAAGTAATTACGGACATAAATCAGAGCAGGGATCAGTGTGAGGTCAGGACTGCTTTGTTTGTAGCCCAGCTTTACTCAACCGCCTTCTGCTGAGTAACAGAGAAGTCCATTGCTGTTCATTTTGTGAAAAAGTGATTTCGTTAGTGATGAAATGTGTATTTTGACAAAGTTTGAGCCCCTGCGTGCTTTCGAGCAGGGATTGAGCAGCCTCACCGTGCCAGGAGCCGAGCTGCCTCTATCGGCCTTGCAGTGAATGCAGGGCCAGCGGCCAGGCTGGACACAACAGTCGGCATCCGATATGCCATGGTTGGTGTCCAGTATGCCATGGTTGGTGTCCAATATACCGTGATTAGTGTCCGATACTGTTGCTCACCAGCCTGGGCTGCGGCACCAGGGACGCTGTTGCATCTTCCGCATCCAGGAGGAAATGGCCTGCCTCTTGTGGGCAGGATAGGTACCTTGAGTTGAGTAGTTAATTAGTAGTTCATTAGCTCAACTCAGTCCAGCTGGATAAGAATGATTGGTGCCATAATTCCCCCTTTTTGTTTTACCATTTTTTCTGTTTTCACAAAGGCTTTAAGGGTGAGCAGAGACCCGGCCCATTCATCCAACTCCAGCACGCTTCCCTCCCGCGAATACCACGTCGGGGCTTGCGGCTTTACCTTCTTCTCCGAAGGACTCTCGCTCGAGCTCCCAGCTCCGGTGCTGGCTCCAGCTCTTTTGGCTCGGGCTCCTTAGGCTCGGGCTCTCGGCTCGGCGAGGGAGTCGGGGCTTCCCAGGGCTTTCCAGGGTCTCATCGATGTATCACGTCGGGGTCACCAGTTGTTGCTCACCAGCCTGGGCTGCGGCACCAGGGACGCTGTTGCATCTTCCGCAGCCAGGAGGAAATGGCCTGCCTCTTGTGGGCAGGATAGGTACCTTGAGTTGAGTAGTTAATTAGTAGTTCATTAGCTCAGCTCAGTCCAGCTGGATAAGAATGATTGGTGCCATACGATATGCCATGGTTGGTGTCCAGTATGCCATGGTTGGTGTCTGATGTGCCATGGTTGGTGTCCAATGTGCTATGGTTGGTGTCTGATATGCCATGTTTGGTGTCCAGCATGCCATGGTTGGTGTCCAATATACCATGGTTAGTGTCCGATATGCTATGGTTGGTGTCCAGTATGCCATGGTTGGTGTCCAATGTGCTATGGTTGGTGTCTGATATGCCATGTTTGGTGTCCAGCATGCCATGGTTGGTGTCCAGTATACCATGGTTAGTGTCCGATATGCCATGGTTGGTGTCCAGTATGCCATGGTTGGTGTCCAGTATGCCATAGTTGGTGTCTGATGTGCCATGGTTGGTGTCCAATATGCCATGGCTGGTGTCCGATGTGCCATGGTTGGTGTCTGATGTGCCATGGCTGGTGTACGATATGCCACAGTTGATATCCAATATGCCACAGTTGATGTCCAACAAGCCACATTCGGCATGCAGCGGGGGCAGGCTGCACCTCACAGAGGGACATCTCCTTGGGGTGACTGCAGTGACTGTTTAAAAACTCAGCAAGTTGAATAAGATGCAGCCATAGATCTTCAGCCGAAGCAAATCGGCAAAGCAAATGTTTTTTCAGTAGAGCCGCGGTGATTTATGGCCCCAGCCCTTAATCTGTACATCTTATTCTTGCGAGGTGTTTATGAACGTGAAGCGGCGCTCAATGGGAGTCAACTGCCGAAAAATGGATGCAGCCACATGGTACAGTCTTCAGATGGTACTAGCTAAAAATAGTCAGTCGTTCTTAAAGGAGAGCTGTAACCAAGCTCTGCTCACCTCCTGTCCTACCAGGAGCACCAGTGTTTCCAACAGAAAGGAGTAGGGATGGGCAGGGAGTTGTGGGCAGTCTGTGGGAGCAAGTTCATATCTGTGGTGGTCCTACGCGCTCGTCATCCATGGCTGGAGGACCTATAGAGGATTTTGCAATATTAGGGCACAAACAGGGCCACCGTCACTGCCACCACGTGGCATCCGTGATGTGGATGTCCCAAAGCCATGGCTGAGTACAATGGTTTGTTGGATGCCATGTATTGTAAGAAGGAGACGTAGTTAATATTATTTTTCCCTCTTCCCCAAGTGTCTCTAATACTAAGTTAACCAAAAGACAATCCCCAGTGGTAATTCTGCTACCCAGGAACGTACTGTTTTGTAAAGAAAAAAAAACAAAACCAGAAAACAAACCCAGTGCTTGGTAAACTATATGCTACTTTTCATTCCAACAGTTTGTTAAAATAACATCTAGAAGTGACCGCTGAATGATTTTTGTTTAGCTTATCCATACCCTGTAAATCAGATTCAGCCTACCAGTTTGGCTTGATGTAGACAACTGAATAATAACAAATGAAAAATAAGTCGTGGTTTTAAATGTCTCTGCTGTGGGCTGTTGAACACCCACCTCTTAAACTGGGATTTTTATGAGTGTCTTGAGGTTGCATGCCAAAGCTCAGCTTATGACGTACACTGAATTTAACCCCTCTTTGTTTATTCATTTCTGCACATCCTATTGAAGTATTTATTGAGAATTTTTTTCCTTGCAATGGATTATTCTGAGGTATGTGACTGAATAACATAACACGTCGCTAAGGGTATTTCTGGGTGAATCATAGACTTTCTTTCTTTTTGGTAGTTTTCTTGGTCAGATATTAAATGAAAATCAGTATTTAATCAAAGCAATTTTTTATTCCCAGACTATTGTTAGAGGAAATAAGCCTCGAAAGGATACTTCAATCAACGGCCTGCTGGAAGAGTTCGACAATATCTCGGTGACGCGATCCAATTCGCTGCGGAAGGAAAGTCCTCCCACCCACCACCAAGGAAACGCAAACCATGTGCCGAGGCACCAAGAGGAAAATGGTTATATCACATATTCCCAGTACTCCAGTGAGTCAGACACTACAACGGACTATGTTGTGGAAAAATATCGAGACAAGACTCTCTACGGGGAAGAGTTAGACCGGTACTACAAAGGGAGCTACGCCGCCAAGCAGAATGGGCACATGATGAAGGTGACTTCCCGGGACATCTATTATTCGGAAGTGACGCCCCTGCAGTCAGACCTCTCCAGGTTCCTCCCAGATTACCATCCACACCTGGACACAAAGCCCAAACCGCTGGAATATGGTGGCCTAAAGCTGGAGTATCAGCGGATACCCAGCGGATCCTCCCTGGACTATAGAGATCCCTTTCCTTACACCCCATCCCGAGCGTCGGTGCAGAGCGAGTGCCCCAAGGAGAGGCTGGACTACAGCGATGGCGACTGGGGACATGGCCTGGGCAAGGACGACTATGACAAGAGGCCGAAGTCATCCTACGTGGACCCAGCAAGCCCTCAGCCAGCCATGAGGCAGAGATCCAGGTCGGGCTCTGGTCTGCAGGAGCCAGCCATGCCCTACGGAGCAAGTGCTTTTAAAGCACACCAGCAAGGACACTCCTACAGCTCCTACACCTACCCCCGCTTGTCCGAAACTGCGGCAGGCATCCCCAAGGTAACGTGACATCCCTGGTGTCAGTGCTGCCAGGGCAGGGATCAGCCTCTCCAGAAGGGGAGTGCAAAAAATTCAGCACGTGCAAGAAACGAAGGGCAGGGACCCACGCTTGGGCACGCGATGCCGAACGCGGCCGGTAATGTGCCCGGGAGCTGTGGAGCTGCCGCTTGGCGGGTGTGAAAACCCACCCACTTCAATCGGGTGTCTGAAAATGGATGTCAGGGACCAGTGGGTTTCAGATATTTATTCAAAGGCAGGTTTGGAGATGCCCAGCTTCCAGGGGGGGTTTACTTGGGATTCCCTATAACTCCAAGTTCTTGGGCAGTTTTTGTATCATTAGGAGTTCATACGCCCGTGCAGATCTCGGCCTGGGCTGAGAAGCTGGTCTGGCTTGTATGTGTTTTAATACTTTATTTAAAACCTCTGTGTTTTAATAATTTATATTGTATAGATGCCATATTTATACTACAAGGTTTATTAACCCTTTGCCACTAATGAGAGGTTTACCCCTCTCCACTCTGTTTTCAAGCAGTGAAATTCAGTCAAAGCAGCTCATCTCAACCCAAGACATTTTAGATGTAGTTAAAAAGAATTAAGGTGCAAAAAAGCATTTCAACCACGATATTTACAAGCAGCTCCTCTGCACAACTTCGTGGCCTGCTCTGCCATTTCTAAGTCACGTGAGGAATATTACCTATACAAGCTGTCCTACCCTACTTGCAATAGTTTGCTGTAACTATTTGTTCAGTTGAGAGAATAACACTTTTCTTACATGTCTAGTCACATAACTATGATGATGACCCGCTTAAACATCTAATATTCTGCAAGAGACATTTTTTTCTTCAGCATAGATTGCTTTGAACATTACTGAGTTCCGCTAGCAACGGGCACCGAGATGATAGCTCATTTTTCCAGGGCTGAAGCAGTCTTGGGTTGCTGTGACTTACCAAACATGCTGAGGTAGGTGGCTTGTCAGGTGGTGAGACCCACTCTGCTGTTTAATGAACATCTGAACGGTGCATTTTCATACTGGCTCTGTGCACTGAGAACGTTGTCCTGTCCAGCTGCAGACTCAGAAGAAGTCCCAGGTCTCTGCAAATCCATGATAGCCCTGTGCCGGAGGCATGCCTGTGTCTTGTTTGCTCAGGTTCTAGCTGCTTTGCTGATCCTGGGATGCAGAGTTACAACCAGTGCCCCATGGTAAAGGGAGAGCCATGTGTTTTTTATTCCACATGGTGTTAAAGCGCAGAGCTGGGCTTTGGAGGTTGAGGATAAATGGTGGGGGAAGTAGAAAAGTCACAAGGTCTCTTTGCTTGCCTTTCCTGAGCTCAGGGTGTGGTGGGAGGGATGCGTGTGGGTCGTTAAACTGCAGGCAAGAGTGTGGTGTTAAATACGGGTTCTGGAAGTTTTGAGGAAAGCCTGGGATGGGCTATCTGCCATTTCCTTCATTGAAAGTCATCATTTTGTCAGGGTTTAGAAAAGAGAAGGACGAATCCAGTAATTCATAGACTCTCTTGCACCTGCTCCTGCCAGTTTTACAGCATTCAATAGGGCAGAAGACAGAGGTGGATTTTACGGGGCTCAAAGCACTCCAGACACATTGACAAATATCCCATTAAAATGCAGTAACAACTTTTACAAAAAAAAAAAAAAAGATGCCGCCGTGCAAGATTCATTGTGAGCTGTTTCTCTCCTCAGAGCATCAAAAACACTCCTACAGCCTCGGTGTATTGAAACTTGATGATTCACTGTTAAATGCAGCAGTTTCAATTCCCAAACCCGTCCGCAGCTCCTGGAGTGAATAGCAGTTTCTTGTCTTGCATGATTGCTGAAGACTCTTCTTTTCAAGGAGGCATTAGTAAGATAATGGATCATCAAATGGGCTTACTAAATGAGAATCAGGTCTCGAATCAGATATTTTACAAATGAGATTGGCTTTAAAGTATAGTCAAAAAGGAAGAAAAAAGTAAGCGGTGAAAAAGTCTGCAGACGCAAACGTATGGCTTCAAAATGCGTTTAACAAAGACGTTCATTTTGGCTTCTGAACGTGCAGAGCAGACTTACTTCAGTATTATTTGCAGGTGATAGATGTCACGTAAATCAAATGTCTGCCCTGTTTCGCCATCAGTGATTTCAGAGGTATTACGTCAGAAGGCTTCTGCTGCGCTGGGCTTGGCCACCGCCGTGCAGCGGGACCATGGAGGTGTAGGAAGCAGGGGGCTCCGCATTGGGTCCCCCACCCCCGTGTTACCCACCTGCTCTCCTGTTCTTGCAGACCAACTCCAGTAACACTTGCATGGTGCGTTATCCTCACGACCCAGAGATTACATCCCTCTTCCTTCAATGGGCTCTCCTCAATGTTGTCACACGATATCAAACTCGTCCCACCAGGTCTGCTGATTTTTGGACACTCTGCACTGCATGTTTTCTTTCTACCCTCCTCTTCATCGCAGGCAGCCCTCTTAACTTTTGCACCAGGTTCTGTTTCAAAGCTCCTTTCCCTGTCATTTTTTGGGTAGCAGCTCTCGGTGACCTTCTCCTATCCCTGCTTCAAGGGGCCCTGATTCCTGCTCTCCCCTACCTCGTGCTGCTGTAACATGGCAGCGGTCTCTCACCCGGCTGTGGGTTTTGCAGATGCTCTGCACCAGGAAGACATTTCCAGCCTGGTGAAGGCAGAGCCAAACCTTTACGATCAGAAATCCTCTCCTTTTTTCCCTCTTTTCTCATTCACACACCCATAGCTTTTTGCTGAAAGGCAAGCCCACCTGGCCAGGGGCTTGCCACTCTTCTAGGAGGGTACAGGCTCCGTCTAAACACAGTGTTTCATCCACCTTTTAACAACGGAAAGACCAGGCTGCCGACGCGGCCACGCGTGGGACGCGGGTAGTGCAAAAAGATCCCCAGCCACGAGCAGCAGGTATCGCCATGCACCGCGGCGCCGTGATGGATGTCGTGTCAGAGCTTCGGCTGCTCCCTTGACCCGATCCCGAATGAGAGCAGGGCTGGTTTCTCTTTCCTTTGTGGCCCTTAAAGAATTTCCTTTCAGTAGGTAATTGCATTCAGTAGCAGAAATAGAATTATTGGTGGAATAAAGCGTGTTCGATTTTGCCAGGATGTGAAGCACTGCGTCAGGACACAGCCTCGGAGGAGAGGTTCAGCTGATTTACTTCTTTTAGCTCCTGGTTTTTTGTAAGATTTCATGGGATTCAGGATGTGAATGGGTTTATGTTGTACTGCAACGCTGACTTCAAAAAGCTTTCGAAAATCCTTAGCAAGCGCACTCAGCGCCTGAATTTTCATTTTAAAATTTCACTGTGAAATTTGCTTTTGCCAATGTGTTAAGCTTAGGACGTGCTCAGAAATATCAGGCATGGGTGAAGCCTCAAATAATTCATTAGTGTGGATTTATCCAGCTTAAATTTCCAGACAAGGCTTTCCCCATCGCAATAGTTTCAAAAAAACCCAACCCTATTTACAGCCAAAGCAATAATTTATGTGTCCCTACGTACACAGATATATAGGACAGGGCTAGACTGAGTTGCCCTCCCTCCACCAAACCATCTGAGCACTTTCCCGCGTTAATTAGTTTGGCAGATGTAATGTCCTTCACGAAATTCAGGATGTCTCTGACCCTCTTCTATTTTACGGCTCTCCCTGCCTGACGCAGTAGGTGAAATTACGGCTGTCATCATGGGGATGTTTTGCTTGGACAAAACCAGCATCCCGGGAGGTGGCCGTGCAACTCCGTTACGCGCCCGCCGGATGCTCCGTACGGCTGGTAGCCGTCCGCCTGCGAGGCTCAGATGGAAGCGGACTCCAGCTCCACGTTTCCGAGGGCAACCTCTGAGCAGCCCCTCTGGAGAGGCTTTTTCCTCTTCCCTGCTAAACCTCACATGAGGTGGGAAAATGCTGGTGGAATATCACAGAGGCTTTTCTCCAGATGGAAACTCCTCCTCGCTGTGCGGCAGTCTACAGTGATAAATTGATGCTGCGGCAGATTTTTTTTTTCCTTTTTTTTTTTTTTTTTTTTTTTTGCAGTCTTAGCATAAAACGGTCAAATGATGTTCCACCGCAGAATTCAATTTCACAGTTCAGTTGGGTCCTTGATTACACTGCCAAATTCAGATTAATGTGCATTTAACTAACATGGATCAGGGACTCCTGGCCAGCAGCCAGCAGTAATAGTAGCAACCGTGAGCTGTGTAGAGTTTGCTGCTCTGTCCACCCCTGTGCGCTGCCACCGAAATTGATTGATTAAATGAATTCATTGCCATAATTATTTGTAATTGTGCTACATCATGAGCCTGTGTCGAACCATCCCCCTGCCCCGAGATGCTCCACACATCATCAGGAGTCACATATGTTGTATCATAAATGTGGAAATACTCTTTTCCAGCAGAAAAAAAAAGTATTTGGGGGCTTGGCGAGGGGTTTTTGTCTTACATCTTTTTTTTTTTTATTTTAGTATGGATAGAAGCAAGCTATTATATTTGTGAATGTGGAGTGCTTGTTTGCTTTCAGTGTAAGAAGCTTAGGAAAGCTTGGAAAACGAAAGAAAGGAACCTGCAAATGAACAAGGCCTCCCATCGGGATAATTTCCTTTGCGATTATCTCTGATTTCAGATGAAAATTAGCGGTTTCGTGACACTGCAGTTAAGTAGCGTGTCACTCTGGAAAATGATTTACGAAATGGTAAATTGAATTAGGCCACTCGTCGTACTCATGTGTGCAGTCACTCAAACAGCAGCCGGTAGCAGGGCAAGGCAGGAGATGACAGGGATTTCAGGATACCACCGCCTCTGCAAGAAGAGGTTGGATCATCCCTGAATTGCTGGAGAAAAGCATAAGAAAAGACTAAGGGCTGAGAGTCAAAACTCAGGAACTGGTATTTGAAGGGAAAGACGCAAATTGGAATTTGCCAAAGGACTACTGATTATGAAGGGGATGAATTCTTTGAGGAAATAGCCCAGAGACCCTGCAGGGCACTGCAAATATGGAGCAAATCCACTTTTGGGAGCATATGCTTGCATTAAAACAAAGATTATTTTATCTACAAACAGGTACCTGGACAGAAAAATGGACCTCGTAAGATGCACAAAAGATCTCGTGGTCTTCCCTGGCCTCATTCTAATGCTGATGAGAGTGCAGCAGCCCAGTGGTCTAAAAAAATCTCTTTTCAGATACAGGGCAGCAGTGTCCCGTTGAGAAGAAGGTACATGTGGGAGCACGTCGTCCCGGCACCCTGCCGAGGAGCTCGAGGGCTGCCGAAAACGAACGTAGTGGTGAGGGCTGGACGGGCAGCGAGAAAGCTGGTTGTTCGTCCGCGATCACGCCTCTGCTTTTGTCTCGCAGGTGGATTACGATCGGGCGCAGCTGGTCGTTAGCCCACCGCTCTCTGGATCGGACACCTACCCCAGGGGACCAGTAAAGCTACCTCAAAGTCAGAGCAAAGTCAGCTATTCGAGCAGCAGCTACCAGTACCCTTTGGTCTACCACAAAGCATCCCACTATCACCAGCCGTCTCTCCAGCCCAGCTCTCCCTATATTTCCACCGCCTCCTACCCCAGCTCCCCAAGTATCACGTCAAGTGCTTATCCTCCACCCAGCTGGGGATCCTCCTCAGACCAGCAGCCCTCCAGGGTGTCCCATGAACAGTTCAGAGCTGCCCTGCAGCTAGTGGTCAGCCCCGGCGACCCCCGGGAGTACTTGGACAGCTTCATCAAGATTGGGGAGGGCTCCACGGGGATCGTCTGCATCGCCACCGAGAAGCACACAGGAAAGCAAGTCGCCGTGAAGAAGATGGATCTCAGGAAGCAGCAGAGGAGGGAGCTGCTCTTTAATGAGGTACGTTGGTTTGGGTGGTGCGACGGGTTTTGCAGGCGATAGGTTCAACCGGAGACGTGGGCCAAATGGCAACTTCGAGAGCCAAATTAACATCTTTCTAAAAGAGGTGGTAAGTCCCATGCGCATCTATGCTGTATAAATATTGTATAGCCAGACCAGTTTCAAATGAGCTACATCTCCTCCTGGCTTTAAACCTGTAATCTGGTGGGAAGTCACAGGCAATGGCTAAGAAATCTGTCAGCTGGTCCATGCAGCATATCAGATGCAGACATCTCCTGGCTGACTTTTTCTCACTGTTTACTGGTCTAGTTTATTATTCCAAGATGGAGGATCTGAACTAACCAGACTATTCAAGAAGCACCTGCACTGTGTTCTGGCATTTACATGCTTTTTGTTTCTTCCCTCTTTCATCTCCTAACCATTAGCAGTCCCTTTGCTTTCTTGATGGTTACTAAGCAAAGAGCTGACATCCCTTTCTCATGGAACCATCTGTGTTAATTCCCATGTCTCCCTTTCCTGAGTGGCTGCAGCCAGTTCAGAACCCACAGCTGCTTATGGAAGCTTGTTTTTCCCATGTACATTATTTTAAATTTAAGAACACTGGTTTTCATTTGCCTTTTTTTTTTCACCCACTTGTTTGGTGCTGAGAGTTCCTTCTGCAACTCAAAGAGTTTCTCTTTTTTTACTTCTTACTCCCTTAAAGAAGATAGTGTTGCTCGTTCTCCGCTCCCTTTGCACGATCACTTGTGAATATGCTGATCAATGCAAAAAAAAACACTGCAGGTCCCCCAGGAAATCTGTTGTGAGAACTAACCTTTCGAGTCTATCATTTGTTTCCTGTATTCGAACTGTAAGAGGATCTTCCCTCAGCACATAACAGACTGGTTTCTTTAAAACTTTTAAAAATTTAACTTTTCAATTAAAATACTCGTTTTTAACAAACTTCACTCAGTTCTCCTTTGCACAATCCTTGACTGTACTGGGTATTTTGGCTTTGTTTTGCCTGTGCTGGAAGACTGCACTGAACTGCCTTGTGGTAGCCCTAACGGAGCATCTCTTGAATGGTAACAACTTGAAGTAAGTCCTACGTGCTGTGCAGGACCAAGCTGTTTCCCTGGCGTGCTCCAGTCGCTTGTGTCATCTGAAAATTTCTTTCAGAATTCCTCCATCTACAATGAAGCCTTCCCTGGCTGTTGTTTTCCCTCCCGATCGCCTTTCTGACATCCCTCAGTACCATGTGGTCATGGTCGCTGCCTTGGCCGGGCTGCTGTTACTGCGGTCCCAATTCTGTGCAGTCTCTGTTAGGTGTGGGATTTGACTCATGTCATGAATAGCCCCTCTATTAGCAGCATTCTGTTAAAATTCTGTGCAGAGTACCGTTCGATACATGATGAAGGCGGCTTTGACGGGTTGAGCAATTGATCAGGTCAAAAAAAAAGATAAAAATCTCTGTTGTACTGAAAGCAACTGGCAATAAAAAAGCAATGAAATAAACAATCCTGTTCCTGCAGTCTGAAAAAAACCCCTATTATCTACCACTTACAATTTAGCAACTAAAGTTTCTTCCTTCTTCTTAATGACTGTTATTTTTATGTAAATATATTGATTTTGTTTATGCGTTGGCATAAGGATTAGGGAGGATGTGATTCATAGCAGAACCTTTGCTAAGCACAAAGGGAAAAGTACAGTGAAAAAGAAGGTCAAAACAAGTGTCAGATACGGCTCGTAGCAATCCACATATCGTCTTTTTTTCTCCCTCACAGGTTGTAATCATGAGAGATTACCATCATGAAAACGTGGTTGACATGTACAACAGTTACCTTGTTGGCGATGAGCTGTGGGTTGTGATGGAGTTTCTGGAGGGCGGCGCTCTGACAGATATAGTGACTCACACGAGGTGGGTTGGGTGTGCTGCGCCGGGGACCGGCACCGTAAAGCCCACAGCGTAAGCCGGGTGGGAGGGAGATGCCGTGACTTTCCCTCATGGATGCCTCCAGACCGTGCCCTCCGGACCTCACCTCCTGCTGAGGGCAGCTGGGTACCTCCTGGCTCTATATATGTATTTTTATATCATATATA